TTCAAGTGGAAGCAGAATCCTTTTCCCGTCCATAATGTAGCCTTTCAGATATTTGAAGATAGTCATTATGTCTCCGGTAAATCCTTTTTTTCCCTATGCTCATTCAGTTAATTTTTATATAGAATTGTTTCAAGTCCTCACTCTGTCCTATTTACCCTTCTCTGGAAACATGTCAGCTTATCAATCTTCTCTTAAAATGTCATACACAGAAATTAATTCAATGCTCCAAGTACTGTCTGACTAGTTCTAAGAATGGTGAGATGACAACCTTCCTCATTGTCAACACTATGCAGTTTAAGATTAGCTTAGGCTATTTTGGCTGGCATGTTACACTTTTTTTACCTTATAATTCTTGGGGCTCAGCCTCCTCCCATCCCATACCCCTGCTCCAACTGGTGCTTCAATTCATTGTTGCCATATTCTACCAAGATTCTGGCCAAAGATATCCTGACAACCGTGTTCAACATTTGGCTTAGTTGAGCAAGCCTGTGATTGGATTAGTCACCTTATGGGAATAATAACTAACTACTTAGTTTAACATTAATGGCCTCTGGTGTGTATAGATATTTGAAATCAATCCTATAAAAATGATGGCTGATTTTACATGATAAGGGTTTATATAAATTTTCTGTAGCAAAAGCAAATATTCCTTTCTTATACCATGATTTCTCCTGCTCTTTCCCCCTGTTTCATGCCAATTCTAGAAAAGCTGAAAATTTTCATGGCTAAATGGAACTAGTTTTAAGAGTTGTGAGGCGAATGCAGTGGGTACTCACAAAATCATATGACTGAGAATTGTAGGAGAACTGAGGGCATCTATTCCAACCCCTATTACCAATGGCTTCATGAAAATTTTGTGAGCTATGTAGTGAAATTGTTATTGTCCCCCTTCTAGAGCTGGAGAAATCATAAACTAGGAGTTAAAATTTGATCCTGTAATTCTGAATTGTGAGAATACTACATATAATCTAAACTCTACAAACTTACGTATTTCACAATAGATCCATATAACTCACAGCTATGAGGGACATTGCACATATTTAGTATATACTCTACCTTGGACCTGTTAACAACAGCCTTGAATGCAAATGAAATAAAATACTAAGGAATCATAGTCAAGAGTTTCAGGATCGTGGTTTGCCCTCATTGATCTGCCATTTTATCACCTGTGTGATTCTGGGCAATTCACTTCATCTTTCTAAGCCCCAGTTTCCTCATATATAAAATGAAGGGATTTGACTAGATTTCACCTCTAAATTTATGACCCAATGAGCTAGTTCTCTACTCTCGTCTTGCAGAACATGATGCAGTGACTCATTATGACCATCAGAGAGTGGTGTGTGCCAGTTTTTCTTTTTTATACCCCCTTCTAAAGCTAGGAGACTCTCTTGCCTGGTTCAACGAACTGCATTGGCTTTTCCCAAAATACTTTGGGTCATGAAAGACTTGGGAGCTAGAATATGTTGATAAAACCTTTAAATTTTGGCTTAAGGAATGTAGGGGAATAAGAAATTCCCTAAGTGAAGGAAAACCAACAAAATTTTGATGCAAAGTTGCCCCACATAGTAAGTACTTTTGGTGCACACATAATTGTATTTTTTTAGAAGGAAAATTATCTTTAGCACCATTTTTTTCATGAGAACTTTATTCCCAATTGCATCTAACATATGCTGAACTAAATCATACCTTACCATTGGCACTAACTGTATGCATAGGTTGAAGAGGCTGTCTAATATAATTTTAAATCCTTTCTGCCAATGGCATCTAAATTTCATCATTATTTTCCTTGCCACTATTAAAACACAAAAATTACCTAGAAGAGGCAATTTCACAAGTTTGAATTAATTTACCAAAATGGCTATTCAAACACTTGGCAAAAGATAAATGTGTGTGTGTGTGTGTGTGTGTGTGTGTGTGTCTGTGTGTGTGTGTGTCTGTGTGTATGTATGTGTGTGTATGTGTGTATATCTATATATACATACATACGTGTGTGTATGTATGTGTATATCTATATATATATAGATATGCACACATATATGTATGTGTGTGTGTGCATGTGATAAAGATAGTAAGGGGCTACTGATCAGGGTACCCTGAACAAAAGGACATAGTAGAGAGACAAGCGGCATAATAGAGGACTAGGGCACTTTGGGAATGAGAAGTAAGGGATACTAAAATGGGATTGCAAAGGTATAGAAGGAATATTATGTTTACTCACCAATTTTGCCTAGATCTAGTTTTGCCTACTGACTAGGCTGAGGTAGTGAAACTTTAAAAATCGCAAAATTAATAAGGGTATAGTTAAACATATTGTGGGAATATGGTCAAGTAACTGGAAAAAGTCGTGACAATTAGGGCAGAAAGAGGTTTTACAGCAAGGGGTTGTTGAAGGAACTGAAGACTAGAGAGGAGCAAACTTGGGAGACATGAACTACAGAGGCTGCTGTATCTTCAAATATTTGAAGGCTTATTTCTGTTCATTTCCAAAGAGGAATATTTGGGCTCTGATAATTATAGGTGTTTAACGAGGTACTACCTTATCTTACATGGTGATATAGTCTCCATTGTTGAATGGGTTCAAGAAGAGTCTAGATGATATATCAGTGATGGCGTAAGAAAGGATTCCTGTAGCATTTGAAGGATTAAACTAGATAATCTCCATGATATATTGTACAGCAGTTATAACAATGGACTTGACCAAGCTTTGGAAGATTTGTCCAGACTGGTTGCCCAAAGAATAAACAAGCTAAATTCAGAGAGGTTCATACCCAGAAGGTTGAATACAAGATGATGATTTTTTTTAACCATAGGAATTCATAAAGACTTTCTAACAAGGCATGGCTGGGGGGGCCTTTGATTGATATTGCATAATCATGGATCTTCCAGGTATTGAAGCACAGGGATGTTAGGTGTCAAAATAAATTACCCTACTCTTGCAAATACTATTGTATCTATAGATTAGTGAATTTGCTAAATTTTAAAGAAAAAACTCATATATAGAGAAGTTAATTCTTTTTGTACCAGACTTAATTTAAGGACCTAGTTAGGGCTTTTGGTTCTTAAATACAGATAAATAAGTACAGTTTAAATGACATAAAACACCATTGGCTGGCTAACATTAATAAAATCAAACCAATTTGTCCAAGAAATTAGCAAAAATATTTGGACTATAATTTCTATTGAAATACCTACCAAAATTTTTCTTGGAAAATCTCTCAAAGCAATTTATCCAGGAAGAGTTCAAATACACTTGCATTTTTAAATAGACTTTTTTAAAAGAGAAAAGTATAAAAAAATTCCTCTTCCTTTTTACTTTCTAATGTGTACAAGATGATGTTTCTGGTTTTCCAAATTACAGAAGCACAATAATGAGTCTACTTTTCATTGAACATCTGCATTTTTCTATCTCATAATCTGAGCAGATGATTACCATTCCATATTTTCCATGTTAAACTCCCAAATTTATTCTTAACTTGAACTGCTAAGCCTTAAGTTTAGAGATAAAAACTTAGAGATACCTGTCAAAAAGAGGAATTTTTCTAAGGCCCAGCTGGATGCAGGGTTATTTCCTCCCAGCTTGAACTTTGATATGCAATTAAGTAACCAAGGATGGAGGCAAGATGAACTGAGGCAGTATCAACCACGACTTAAAAATTAATCATATTTGTAAATACATCAGACTTTTACTTATCCAGCTGCAAAACCTCCAGATTTCTTTCATTTTTAGTTCTTCCCTCTTGCTATCAATCCCTTTTACACTAACCATTCTTACAGCAGAGGAAAGTTATTGTTTTTAATGATAGAAATTCTAAGGGGCAGCTAGGTGGTCACCAGCTCTGGAGTAAGGATGACTTGAGTTCAAATCTGACCTCAGACACATAACACTCAATAGCTGTGTGACCCTGGGCAAGTCACTTAACCCCATTGCCTACACTCCCTGAAAACAAAGAAATTGTACAAAAAGTATTGTCAAGTGAAATCAGATGTCCTTTATTTATCTATTGTTTTTATTTATCCATTTCACCAACAGGTATTTACTGAGTCTACTATGCATGTTACATTATGCAGCACGTTGTAAGGAATTTGACAATCTATCAGCCATGATTTCTGTCCTCAAAGAACTTTCAGTCCAAGCAGGAATACAAGATGGATTTACAGGAGAAATGGAGGGAGAGAGCACGGATTTATTAAGTGCCCACTCTGTGCCAGACATTGTGCTAATAAGTTTTTAAGTGCTTGTCTCACTTGATCCTTACAACAATCCTGGCAGGTAGGTATTATCATAATTTCCATGTACTTTGTGGTTGCTGCTGTTGTTATGTTGTTTCAATCATGTTTGACTCTTTGTGACCCTATTTTTTTTTTTTGGCAAAACAATGGCTTGCCATTTTCTTCTCCAGCTCATTTTACAGATGTGGAAACTGAGGCAAACAGAGTCTAAGTGACTCGCCCAGTGACTAGCTAGTAAGTGTATGACGCAAGATTTTAACTCAGGTCTTCCTGATTCCAGGTCCAATGCTCTGTTCATTGAGACATCTAGCTGCCATACAAGAAGGCATATATATATATATATATATATATATATATATATATATATATATATATGATTCCAGCGCCCCTACTTCCTAGGTTTGTGACCTTGTAAACCTTATTGAATGTCTTGGACCTAAATTTATTCATCTACAAAACGAGGAGGTTTGGCTACATGACCTCTTAAGTTCTTTTCTGGCTATATATCTAGTTTTCCTATGATTAAGCATCAAAATACAAAGTACAGAGACTCTAGAAAAGGAAGAAATCAATGTGAATGGATAAATTCCAGACCTGTATATTTCCTCCATGAATGAGGAACTAAAAAAAGTATTTCCCCCAAAATTGTAAATTGAGCACAGATCCTTTTCCCCTTTTGCATTCATATTTTTAAGGGGCAAAACAACCCCTGAAAAGCATTACTTTGTAGAAATATGCCAAATTAACTCCACAGTAGGCAGAAAAATTACCTTTAAAATTGGGTCTGATTCTTGCATCATAGCCCGATGTCCTGCCCATTAGTTTATCCAGAAAATCAGATGGTGACATTGGTGTGCTACGTGATCTTGCACTGTCTGTCTCCTTTGTGGCAACCAAACTATAAAGAAAAAAGATAAGATCCATATTTCATGAAATAGGCAACAGTAGTCGCACATGTAAGTTAAGAACTAATAAGGTTATTCAAATACCTTCAGAAGTAAAAATATCTTTAGGCCAGTGAAAGAAATCTTAGAGTACATTGGTAGTGGGAGTTTCATTAAGCCAAACCAGTAGGTTTGTGAAATTTACATGTTCAGGCCTCATCTTGAAGTTAAACTTTCTCAATCTGTATAAGGCCCCATTTGAAATGTAGAAGTAATAATATTTTAGAAAAAAAATATTAATTCCATTTTTATCATGGAACCTATATTCCCATTGCATGCAATATATTTTGGGAAATGCTGAACTAAATCATAACCAAGAATTGGGACTAGTGGCATGCATATGTCAAGTAAGATAAATTTCACTTCTGAAGTCAGAGAAAAACTAATCAAGGCACCAGACTTTCAAAAACTAATAAACCCCTGCCCATTTCCCAAACCTGGCTTCTTTACATAATAATTATTGAGGAATCAAAAAAATATAGTATATTATACAGAACAAATAAACCATAAAAGTCCAGCTCAATGAAATAACTATCAAATTTAAATAGCTCATTTATGCAAAAATACAACTTTTTCTTTCTCTCTTTAAAAAAAGTTTTGTGTGAAGTTCTCTCAACTCTAACCTCACTATCCCTCAATGCACACATAATTATATTTTTCTTAAGGCAGAATATTTCCCAAGTTGGTCATATATTGGCCTATATTTATCAAGCTTTTGTTCTTTTGTCACAAAACCACTGCATGAATAACTCAAATTCAGAAATCATCTATGTCAAGAAGGGAAAGAATTGTAAGTATAATTTGTGCAACTAGATATCACATGATAAAAATCTATGTCAGGGAATAGTCACCCCAATTTAAATCTTTCTAATACTTTTTTTTTGTTTGTTTTACTTATAAAATTTTCCCAAGCAGGTCCACTGGAGCATGTGTCTTCTACCTCAGCCTCTCTCTAGGCTTCTGCCATAATGGTCAATAGCAAGCTTCTAGTCAAACTGGTCAGGTATTCATCATCCTCTTTAGCTACAGTATTTTTCATTGGTCAACCAACAAATATTCACCAACTGCCAAACATATTAAATGTATGGTGCCACAGCTTCCGTTTTCCTTTGGCCTTCCAATGACTATATCCTTCTAGGTTCTATTCCCTTATTCTGAACTCAAAATCCTAATCACTATTTCTATGGATGGTAGCAGATCTCTAGATTTCACTTTCAGGCTAACATGTTACCTCTCTGTCCATTAGGCATTGTTGGCCTTTGACCAGCGTAGCTAACACTATTAAAATACCTACTACTACCATGTAGGTGTACCTTCAAAACCAAAATCATCATGTTCTTTCTTTAAGAAGTAACCTGACACTTAAAGTGTTTAGAGTTGGAAGGGACCTTAAAGATAACATTTCAAATTTGTCATTTTGCAGCTAAAATAACTTTAATATCAGGAAAGTAAAGCCCGAAGTTGAACATCTGTGAATTAATTTTACCTTATCACGTACGATACATTATGCCCATGTGCTATGTACCACCATGTGTGGTAGTAAATATTTGTTATGTAATATTCACTTGCTATATTGGCTCATGTATTGCCCCCCAAGTAAAACACACACACACACACACACACACACACACACACACACACACACACCAGTTTAGTGGTCTGAATTAGCACTAAGTAAATATCTGAGTTAACCACTAGCTAAGTAGTTAACTATTGAAGTGGATGATTTTTAGCTACCAGCTAAACCTTCTTTCAGTTACTCATCATGTGAACATAGATTAGCGACTGTCTTAACGGGCTGCAGTATTGCCACTGGTCACATAGAGATTGTTTGGGAGCCATCTCTAGTCATATTGACTTAAGTCTTGCCAATGCACTCTGATGACACTGGAGGAGAGAGTGGGGCTCATGACGAAGCACAGCGCTGCTTTACTTAAATCCAATTCACTTGGAAGTCAACACATCACCCACCCTCCTGATGTTATTAGTCCTCTTTGAGAGCCAAGGATGAACAAGAAGGAAAGATTATGCAAGTTTCTGGGCCACCCCCATCGTGGTCATGTTACTCTGCTTAAAAGAATCTTTTAACTCTTGCTTATTCTGAGTTGGTTTATCTTTTGGGATTGATGGAAGGAAGAGAAGGTAGAGATCCTCCCCCTCCCCAGTGCATGAAGTTTAGAGTTTTGTCATAATGGGGAGTCATAATGATTTATATTTTCACAGACTATGGATGTGGACAATTTTTTCACCTCAGCTGGGATTACACTGGTTTTGTCAACACCCTGGATTATGTCTATTTCTTAAGCCTCTAATCTTTCCTTTAGAAATCCTAATGTGGAGAAGATATTGTAAAATATAGATAGGACCCTTTTATCTTATCATAAATGAATCATAATTGAGAGTGGGGAGGCTGGCACAGGGGTGTCAATCTTCTCCCCATGTCAAAATATTGGAATTTGTTAAACCAACTGTTCCCTGTGCATCATTTCATCTGGTCCAGAGAATTTGCACAGAAGCTCCCCAAAAGACGTGTTGTCTTGGGCTACACATAGATGCACTGTAAAGTTAAAGCAAGATCCTCCTAACCTCCTAAAAGCAGACTCACTTTTACTGACCCTTTCCCTTAAGATCATCTCATAGAATGGTCTATCATTCCTCAGAGAATTATAAAACTCAGGGGTTGGAAGGAAACTTAGAGAGATGTCCAGTCCAAACCCTTGCCCAAAACATGTATTTCTTCTATAAAATAGTCATACAATCAGCACTTGAATACCTCCAGTAACAAGAAACCCATCCAATTTTCAGACTATTCAACTCGGCAAAAATTCTTTCTTCAGAGTGAGCTGAAATTTGCCTCCTGATAACTTTTATCCCTTAGTCTTAGCTTATCTTCTGGAGCCAAATAAAATTGTCCTAACTCTGTTTCTCTATAGCAGCCCTTCGTATACTTAAAGACATCTATAATTTGAAACCTATATCTTCTATTTTTCAGAACAAGCATCTTCAGTTCCTTCCTCCTTTTCTTATCTGATATCATTTCTCATCTCGCCACTATCAGGTTGCCCTCCTCTGGATCTGGTATGACTTGTCAGTGTCTTTCTAAAAAATGTGACATGTGAAAAAGAGCACAATGTTTGAGACATGATCTAACAGAGAGTACAGTGGCAGGCACTCTTACCTGCCATATTCTGGATGTGATGCTTTTATTTATGAAGCTAAGATTTCATTAGCTTATTTGACTACCTTATCACACTGTTGATTCAGCTGAAGCTTGAAGTTTGATCACACAGCCAATGGAAGGCAAGGTTTCCATGTTCAAGCAACACCAGTGGACCTGTACCCATCTTACGGGTTCTAACTTTCTCTTCTGCTTCCAGAGTGGTCACAGGGGTCCAAGAGCAACTGCTGGGTAGTGGGGGAGATGAAAGCTGCCACCAGCTATTTTGTGTATTACCTAGTTCTAGGTGGTCAATGGGTAAGTTCCCTTTTTTAACCAACCCCCAGGCTTTAAGTTCACTTCAAAGTAGACTCAACATGTTTAAAAACTTAAGACTTTTTTCATTTTAATTATTGATTTTAAGATATGCTATTCTGAGAGAGAGATGATTTCCTTCAGAACACAATTCTAAGTATTTGAGGCAATTTGAACTTAAAAAAAACATTAAAATTTGAAAAAAAACCCTAAATTCAAAAAAATTCAACTCTTCAACAATTTGTCATTCTAGCTAAAACAAATGCATCCTTTTCTCTGTGTTCCACTGGCACTTCTGTATTATTAGTTTTACATCACTGGTAACTGATCACATGTTATATAATATTAGGCTATTTCATATATGTAAACTATACCATCCCAATTAGACTCTGAAGGTCTGAAGGAAAGAGAAAGTGTCTCCCATGTCCTTACAATCTCCTTATAGAATTTAATACAGTGGTCTATATATAACAAGAGGAGAATAAATGATCTGTGGTCAGTTAACTCATAACACTCAGTTAAGACACATTTAATAAGTATTACTATATGCCAGGCTCTGTTGATCACTGGGGATAAAAAGAAAGGAAAAAAATTCTGCTAAGTATTCAATTTTATATTTTTACTATTATTATGAGCTCATGAGGCAAGAAACATTTAATATCATAATCTTTATTATTATTTTTGAAAGTATTTTAATTAAAAAATCTATTTCTCTCCCTCCCATCACCTCTCCTCACCCTCAAATGGAAAAAGAATAAAAGAAAATCATGATCCTTCTAACAAATATGCAGAGTTAAGCAAAACAAATTCCTGTATTGATCATGTCCAAAAAATCTTTGTCTCATCTTCTACCTTGCGTTCATTACCTCTTGACAGGAAGGAGGTAGCATGCTTCATCATATCAGTGATTTGTTTTATAAGAAAGGGATATTATGATACAGGGGATACATTGGTGGACTTACTGTCAGGAAAGCATGAGTTAGAATTGTGATTCTGGTTTTTCTAGTCACTGGTTTTACCTCTTAGAATCTCAGTTTCCTCATCTGTAAAATGAGGATGCTAGATTACTATATATACATCATATAAATATTATATGTGCATAAATATATATCTATATAGCACCTATCTCACAGCATTTCTATGTAACTCAAATGACCAGAGGCCATGCCTTAACCTTTTCTGCTTTGAAATTCTGCCTCTTCCTGGTGATCTTCACAAACATCTTGTCTCTATAAGCATACCTTCACTCCCTACCATCTCTTTCTCTCTGGTAGAGAAATCAAATCAGTACAGGCACTGCTGCTAGAAAAAAAGGTATATTATTCTACTTCATTATGGCTCCACTCACCATCCTTACAACTCTTCATGACCCCATTTAGGGTTTTCTTGATAAAGATACTGGAGTGGTTTGCTATGTCCTTCTCCAGCTCATTTTTTAAAATTTTTAAATTATTAAATCTTATTTTTAATTTATGAATAAAT